TAAAGTCATATTGCTGCCTGGGAAGTGTGCAGGTAATGGTGTCCCAGAGCAGACAGTGATGTGGTGCATGAAGACTGTCATTCAGGAAAGGCTGGGAATTGTTTCTCAGGGTTCTGAGAATACAGATTTTGTTGCACCTGCTGAGACAAGCTAACTGGTGCAGTCATCTGGCAAATATGAGCCTTTGTCCCGAGTCAAAGTGTCTAATATTGGGATAGATACAGATGCACTCAGAATCAAAGTGTCTAATATTGGGACAGATACAGATGCACTCAGAATCAAAGTGTCTAATATTGGGACAGATACAGACGCACTCAGAATCAAAGTGTCTAATATTGGGACAGATACAGATGCACTCAGAATCAAAGTGTCTAATGTTGGGACAGATACAGACACACTCAGAATCAAAGTGTCTAATGTTAGGACAGATACAGATGTACTCAATGCTATGGCATATGCTCATTGCTGCAGTTCTGGGGTAAAAACTGTCAAGTGAGGCTCCTGCACAACCGGCTGGTGCTGTCCCGCCTCTCCCCCCAGGTGGGTGCTACTCTCCATTAGCATGAAGCCACCTTACATCACATAATGGTAAGGCCTATGGATGGGTCAGAGAGAAGCATTTCCCATGATCACGAGTTTTTATATCACCTGACTAAATAGAGCACAAAATTAGTATTTCACACACGATTTTCTTACTCATATTTTACCAAATTTATAGGAGTTGTACTATTAAAAATAATGATGTAATCTGCACTATTATATATTATATAAAGTAAATATTACAGACGTGTTAATAGTTTCTGAAAATTCACCATAATCAGAAGTATCTGCTACTAATAAAGTATAAAATTATCTCAGTTAAATCTGTCTCCAAGCATAGAAGTTTAAAGAATTTAAATATGTTCAAAGAGTCTTAACAGGCTGAGCGCCCGTAGTTCAGTGGTTAGGGTGCTGGCCATATGCTCCGTGGCTGGTGGGTTCAAACCCGGCTGATGCCTGCTGTACCAAAAAAAAATAGCCGGGAGTTATGGGGGATGCCTATTGTCCCAGCTCCTAGGGTGACTGAGGCAAGAGAATTGCTTAAGCCCAAGAGTTTGCTATGAGGGTGACAAAGTGAGGCTCTGTCTCAATTAAAAAAAAAAGACAAAATGCATCTTGTGATGTTATTAAAAATGCTAGCTTACCTAAACTATCCAAATTTTGCTAAATGTAAAAATGTTTTCTCAAAGGAGCACTACAGAAAGGAAAAAATAAAATCAAGAAACTTAAAAAAAAATGCTTTCTCATATTTCTAAGCTCTTTAGGTGGCACTAACATAAGCCAGGATGCATACAAGAGCAGTGCTCCAACTATGATGCCTCAAACATCAAATCATTAAGCGCACCTCTATAAAAATGCCACTTTCAAATGCTTAGGAACAAACACATTTTATCTTTTAAAACTGGTTTTTAGAGAATAAGCTAAAGCTAAGCAAAATGTCAAAAATTTAAATTTCTCACTGAAAATGTTTTAGGAATCGTTTCCCATCACATCTATAATACTAAGGTCAGAATCTGTATGGGAAACAATGGCAGCAATCATTAATGAAGTAATGTTAAATCCAGGTATCCACAAAGGAGAGAGAGGTCAGTTATTACTTTGTTTAAAAATTTAGATGATGAAAAAGAAAGATGGCTGATATGAAAATAACTTGCCATGTCAACTGTCAAAACTGTATTTCAACTTAGGTAACGTTAGTATTCTAAAAAAATCTAAAACATGTCACGTGACAATGAAGAGTACCACATGCTACAGACTGAGTGCTGTGCTCCTCCCCTTAGTTCACTTATTGAAACCCTCAAGTCACTCAGGATTAGACCTGGTGCCTTCCTCACACAGGCCTCGAAGTGCTCCCTCCCCTCTACCACATGAGGACACAGGAAGAGAAGGCTGTCTTTGCACCAAACTTGTGCCTGTACAGGGTCTGCTGCGTCTCCATCCTGGCTTTCCCAGTCTCTGCACTGTGAGAAATACATGTCTGTTGCTTAGAAGTGAATAAGCTACCTGGTTTGTGGTATTCTGTTATAACGGCCCAAGTGAACATAAGAACTTGCTGCCCAGAATGCCCTTGTATCTCTTCCACACAGCTGCTCATGGTCCTACACTCCACATCAGAAACAAACTGCCACTCACAACACTACTGCTACGGTAGCAGTTCAGACTCTTTCTCCGGAAAAGGTCAAGAAAAGTACCTGATTTAGCCCAAAAAGTTTGGCTGAAATAAAATTTTTTAAAAACCTATAGAAGAAAATTAAGCAAAGAATATGAAAAGAGAATGTAAAATAACTATGTATTCAATGATGGAAGCTGGAAAATAAATGTCTTTAACTCCAGGCAAGTTTTAACTCCCTAGTTATAAAATAGAATATGCTACATGACACTGAACAATTGAACAAGCAATTTCATCAGCTATTTTATTTTAATTATTATTATTTTTTTGAGACAGAGCCTCAAGCTATCACCCTGGGTAGAGTGATGTCACAGCTCACAGCAACCTCAAACTCCTGGGCTTAAGTGATTCTCTTGCCTCAGTCTCCCAAGTAGCCGGGACTATAGGCACCCATCAGAACACCTGGCTATTTTTTGGTTACAGTTGTCATTGCTGTTTGACAGGCCTGGGCTGGATTCAAACCCGCCAGCTCTGGTTTGCTTAAGCTATAGGTGCTACCTAATCAGCTATTTTAAATAATGATTCTTTACCAAAACTATAAAAAGTTGGTATCAGGCTCTTTCAGAGAATTTTTTTAAATGAAATTTCCTAGAAGCTTTTAAAAAACATTTAAGACAAAAAGAGGTCTTTGGAATAAAAAACTAAAGTCCTTCCAACTTGGGACAAATATATGCTGGTTTACATAGAATTATTCCATTGATCCACTGTGTATTTAAAATATATACCTGCAAAAAGCTGATTAAGATGTGGGATGTGAACCAGCCTGAGAATAAACAGAAAGAAGAATGGATAATGATAGTAATGGTAAAATTTGAGTTTAGATAATAACAGTGTCCAGGATAGATAACTCATTCAGTATCTATTTGTAGTCAGTTACTAAAAATAGTTATGACAATTAGAAATTTAAATGATCGCCTTTTGAATAAACTAATTGCCTCTGCTTTGTGCTAGTGTGTATTTCACTCACACCAACTTGTGATCACCCACACTGTAACAGCACTGTCCCAGATCAACTGGCCCACAGTACATGGAGAGATGCATGGGCCACTGTGACAGGAAGACTCAGACATGGTACACTAGTTGGAAAACTTGGATTTAGTTCGCTTTTAAATCTGTGCCTTTTTCTTCTATCAAGGGACTAAAGAAGCTCTGGTGTGAAAATGATTTCTTGCAATATCTGTGGAGTGAATATTGATGCATCCTGCCAGTAAAGGCTACCTATGAGAGAGACTCAGTGACAGTGACAGAGACACCTGCTGATGCCTACTGTGCTTGGGCACTGTTACTCCTCTTCCACACGCTTCTCAGTTTGGGCTTCAACAGCACTAGCATCTCCATTTTACTAGTAAGGAAACTGGGGTGTGGAGAGATCACAACTGTGCTCATTTTCCAGATAGAGTCATTGCTGCCTTTACAGAACTGTAACTACAGTTTGTGCCTTTAGGTTAGTCTCCTGAGAGGCAAAGAAAGTATACAAACATGTTTTCTGGTACACAGTATGAGGAAGAGGTGGAAGAGGAAGAGGTAGTATGAGTGAAAAAGAAAGGGCAAGAAGTGGGAAGAATAGTCATTGCTCAGCCAAGTCACCTTCCTACAGTCACAATAGCACTGCCAGTCTTAATGACTTCATAAAAGACAGTCCCAAAATGTTTGCAGGGTGCTCCAAATTTTCACAGAATGTATCATGTTTCTAAGATAGTCCCCTAATGCCAAAATTAGAGATCTTACAATAATTAAGTGGTTTAGGAGAATCCAGACTAAGAGTGGAAACTAGCATAATTAGCAGGGAGCAATGACAAGTGTCCAGATTCAGCCAGGCATGGTAGCTCACTGTGTATGCCTGTAATACCAGCACTCTGGGAGACTGAGGCAGGTGGATCACCTGAGCTTAGGAGTTCAAGACCAGCCTGAGCAAGAGCAAGACCCTGTCTCTACTTAAAAATAGAAAAACTAGCCCAGTGTTGTGGCGGACGCCTGTAGTCCCAGTTACTCAGGAGGCTGAGGCAAGAGGATCACTTGAAACAAGTTTGAGGTTGCTATGAGCTATGATGCCATAGCACTCTTCCCCAAGGTGACAGAATAAGACTCTGTCTCAAAAAAAAAAAAAAAAAAAAA